TTCATTTATAAGTGTTCAAGGCCTCAAACCTATTTCTGAGTTGGTTTTAAATTCATGGGAGATAGACTCAAGGTCACATTTTTATTCCCGTGGATATGATTTAACCTTCTTTAGTTTTGATTTAAACTTACATATGAGCAGTTGGTGGTATGTTCCACAATCAGCACCTGGCCTAATTTTTACTGCCGATACTGAATTTCTTCAACAGTTCCTTCCACATATGTAATCAATCTGATTGCTATGCATCTCATCAGTTGAAATCCATGTATATAGCCTTTATGTTTCTCATAAAAGGTATTTGCTATGAATAAATCATTGATTGTATAGAATTCTATCATTCTGTCCTCAGCCTCATTTCTGTCCCCAAGTCCGTATTTTCCAACTAGTGATCTTTTGTCCTGGTTCCCAACTTTTTCATTCCAGTCACCCATTATTATTAATGCATCTTGGTTACATGTTCGATTGATTTATGACTGCAGCATTGATAGAAATCCTCTGTTTCTTCCTCTTTGGCTGTGGTTGTAGGTGCATAAAGTTGAATGATAGTGGTATTAACAGGTCGTCCTTGTATGCTTATGGATATTATCCTATCATTGACAGTGTTGTATTTCAATATGGATCTAGAAATGGCTTTTTAACCATGAAAGCAACCCTGTTTTTTGCACCTTCGCATCTCCAGCTTAATAAATCATATTATTATAGGATTCAAAATGTCCCATGTCAATCCATCTCATTTTGCTAATACCCAGTATCTCAATACTTCTGCATTCCGTTTCTTACTTTACAGTGTCAAGTTTCCTACATTCATGCTTCTTACATTCCACGGACCAGTTGTTAATTTCTTCTCACAACTATTTCTCCTCTTTGTATTTCCAAATTTGAGGGCTCAACTTCGGTTGCCATATCTATTAATCTACTCTAAGTGTGCTCTGTTTTTTTATATTTTTTTAAAAAATATAAACAGTATGTGGAAACTACAGAACAATCTCACTGATTTCACATGCAAGCAAGATTTTACTGAAGATTATCCAAAAACGACTTGAACAGCACATCAACAGAGAACTA